TATGTTTCTGTTCACCAAGTTTTAAAGGTAGTAGCCATATGCCTTTGCATCAAAGCTAGGGGCGACCAGTTAGTGTGAATGATAGATATCTGACATRGTTAATTTTTAATGAATAGACTCCCTGCAGCTGTTTTCCATAATCTCCTTTCAGCCGTTCTTAGTGGTGGGYTCCCTGTACCCTGCCCCACAAGGGGACAGGGAGCCCGCCACTAAGAACTGCTGCAAGGAGACTACCGTTTTCCGGGGTCGTCTACTAAATCATTTAATGTTTTTATCGTTGCCCACTCAATGGCTGTCTTTGATCAAAAGGCACTTTCAAAATGGCACAGGGAACCGTCAAAAGAGACTATACAATGCAGTACCTTGTCTTTTTGTTAACTTGTTACATGTATTTGTTGTATTTGCCTAGTACCCAGATCTTTCTCAACAGGCCTGATTGGAGACAATATAGGATCCAAATTTTGGTCATACATRTATGATATATTATAGGTCTGCATACTGATTGCACAAGAAAAAATTTTGAACGATCAAATCAAAGACTTAATCGTCTCCAAACAGCGACTTCAATTTTCTGTTGGGAAACTACATGTAAGAAAGCTCTTGGTACGAGAGTGATGACTTGTACGATGTTATCTGCAGGGATAAGAGATGCTTGTTCTACGTTGTATTTTAACTTSGTCAATGTCTTTTTGYTGATTCCAGGTGTTGTGACTTTATTGAATGACTATCCAGTATGCAAAGAAGGAGATGTTTTGACCCCAGAACAAGCAAGGATCCTGGTAAGAATTATTGAGGCCCTACAGTATGTGCTATACAGTATAAAATAGCATCTATGTTGTTAAGGGCATTGTCAGGATAAACTAGAATGCATATAGTGTACTACATTGTTGCAAGCTATGTATCTCAGGCAAGCAAACTGAGAAAGTCTGTCCTTGTTGTGAAATGTTGGATTCAACTTAGTACTTATTAATAATAGTACTAGTATAACTAGTAAGTGAGAAACTTTATCCTTTAGCTGAACAATGATTCTGAGATAAACAAAACAACTTCAGCTATACAAAATCAACAATAGTTGTTAACACATTGATGTTTGAAAACAGAAACAGATCATTTCTCACTTACAGTACCTCCATTTACTTCCATTGTTCTTTTATATTAAGATTATATTAAAATGACAAGCATGTGACATACTGCGTGTATGTAGCCTAGTTTACCCTGTCCTTCTCCACATAGAATTATACAGTGGGATTGTGTTACTATATGGCATTTTCCATGATACTAAATTCAGGATATGGGTGCACATACTGTACAACCACTCAGTATGAGACATTTTGCAATAACCTGGGGACTACTGAACAACTTTCCTTATTACGGCATAAAACTGACCTATAATTCGAGATTAAACGTAGGCAGACTTTAAATTAAAAAGAGCCTTAACCTTAAGGGAATTTGTTTCCAATATAGAAACTGTTTGAGAATCCAATGGCAAAATTCCACATCAGCGTACTGTGCACATGGAATAATAATGGTACATTCGAGGAAATGACATAAAGACAAAGTGGACTTTTAGTATAAACATTTTATTGAATATCAGCAAGATAAATCTCTTGATAATGATTTTAAAATGAAGCTGTCCTTGAAAGTGTAATAACTGCAAAATACTTTTTATTTACATATTAAAGAACACCCATTCATTTGGATATACTCTCATTCGTGCTTGTGATTATATAGTTTGAAACTTTTTGTAACTTGTATGTATCATTGTAGTATAGCTACCATTGTATTTTATAAAAAAAAATGTAACAGATAAAATAACATTGGACACGACATRGAAATTATAATGTTTGTACTCTAAATAGATACACAAGCCCTCCCATTCCATTCCGTCCCGTTTCTATACCCCTCCCTTTTTCTCTAACAGGTTTCCCTCCCCCCTGCATTTTTTTCATTCATGTTTAGATTAATCCGTTGAAAAGTAGGGAGTGAAGTAAAATGGGTCCCAGCGGGAATTAAATAAAAGCGAAAGCTTCTAACAAAATACACGCGTATTTCTATMACGGCTATTAATTATTTTGTTCTTCAGCTATATGAAGTTTTCCGTGGTCATTTGTCCACGTTTTTCTTKTGAGCATGCTCTTAATCTATCAATTAAACTTAACTCAAAATTGAATGAAATATCATATGATCTGTCGCGACTGAAAAGTCAATGATGTCTTCATGACTTACTGCGAGGTTGAACACCGCTTATCCATCGATCAATTCCATACAAAGTCTATGGAGAGGATAACTGTCCGACGCTGATACAACCGGTCGCATTAATGTGTATAGGCATTTGAAGATACGACTTATAACTTAACTTGTTCACATTTGATATATCAGTATTCGAATATTTTAAATACATCTTTCTTGTTGGCAAGCAGCATTTTCTAGAAATTATACTTTCTCGTGTACCTAGGACAAATATACCGGCGTGCACAGCTTCTCCTCCGAGTGATGGAAAAAAAGTCTTCAGGTTTTTCCCTAAATATTCTATACATTTCTATATAATAATTTATGCATAATTTGCTATTATAAAGCAGCAATTAGACTTCTTTGCCTTCAAAAGCTGCAATAAGATTCAAAACTCTTTGTCTTCCTATCGCAGTCATTCTGTCTTCGTCGCTTGCCCCAGTTTCGTCCGTCGTCTCCAAATCCATAAGTATCTGTTTTGGTAAAGGCGAAGATTCATCTGTTGTTGCATCTGTGGGCTCGATATCCACTAGTCTCTTCTTTGGGACAGGTTTAGCCTCGTCGTGTTGTTGAGAGGGAACACCTCGTTGCTTCGGCTGTGGCATGTCGATACTAACGATGCTGTCGTCTATTAAATTAGGACCGTCCCTCTTTATTGGGCGTGGTGGCTTCATGCCTGGTTTCCCGTGAGTAAACGAAGCCCCTTCAAGTTGTTTGATGATTTCACTTGGTTTTCGAAACACTATTGTCTCCTCCTCTGGCGGCTGATTTTCCRCTCGGTCGCTGACTGGCTTCTCACGATTCATGTCTTTGCGAGGGAGTGGTTTTGGATGTGGTTTTCCGTCAATAGTATCTTTAGGGTTAGCAATGTCTTTGAAGGAAGCAGCATCTTTGCCATCCCCTCGTGCGTTATTTTCCTTAATCTCACGCTCAGTTGCGTTATCATCTATTTTATGTCTTCTTGTGTTACYTCTGTCGCTGTCACGCTCTCTTTGGTATGGGAGATTTCTATTTTCTGTTACGCTGTTTTTATTGGCTGTTTGTTCTTTGTCATTGATAGATATTAAAAGTRGGCTGATTGACTGGTTGGTGTCAYCAATTTCTAATAAATCCTTCGTTGAGTCAAAGCTCGAGCTGAATTCATCCTCCCAGTTCGGTATATCAAATGGGGTCGAGAATGGATCTATGACGTCACTGGGTTGGTCATTTTCGTATATGTTCGGTTCTTCCGGATGTGACATCAGCTTTGAAGGCGTTTGTGGTTCGAGGTTAACTAAAGCCTGGATTTTATTTTGAACTGGCTCTTGAATTTCAGTTACCGTGGTGATATCAGATGCTGATGTATCAAACGGTTCCACGGACATTCGCTGYCGCCTTTGGAGGTACGTCGGTTCGATGGAATCGAACGTGTCATCATCACGTGGTGAGCTCGTTCCTTCAGGATYAAGGTTGAGATACTTTTGTAAGATTGGATCCTGCTTCTCAGCTTCATTCATTTCAGATAACAGATCATTGAGGTTGCCCACGCTGTATTCAAAAACCTCGTCGTCATCTCTGCTGGACGCCTCCGAGAAGCTATCGTCGGGATCGTTAAGCTGTATCTGTAAAGAATCAAACGTATTGCTCTGTTTGTCTTTTTGAATTTCCTGTTTTTCTAGTAAATCATAGGAAGTGACTGAAATGGCTGGACTCTGTGACAGTGTTGAACTGGATGCAATTGTGCTCTTTGGGTTACCTTTGGATTCCTTATCCTCTCTGTCCAGATTCTCTCGGCTATTTGAGTCCATTGACTTCTTCGTTTTGTGTGAATCATGGGATTTGTCGTCAGTGTTGCTACTCATTTCAGAGTCACTTGATTCTGACTTTTTTTGTCCATATTTAGTATTAAATGATGCACCACTGACGTCGTAAAATCCCGATCTTTTTCCATACGAGTATGRGAGAGAAGGTCTTGTTTTGATGCAGTCTATTTCGTGYTTTCGTATTTCTTTGGATAACTCATTTTCTAAATCCGTTACTTTGTTTTGTGCTTTACTTAGTTTTTCGTCGAGCGTTTTTATTCGATTATCTGCTACATTAAGGCTTAAAACAGATGACGAGCTGCTTTTTCTTGAGCTCAATGGCTCCAACTCTAAAACGCTGACAAAACTCTCAGGTTGTATACCGCTGTCTACCTCAATCAGCCTCTTTTTTGCGTTGTCGAGTTCTCTTTGAAGTTTTTCGTTTTCTTGTGAAAGTTGYTCGTTCGCAGCCTTTGTTTCTTGGAGCCTTTTGTTACTGTCTGACAATTGCTTTTCTACCTATTATAATTATGTGAAAAAATAAGTATTAAAATCTTGCCGTGTAGGACAGATAATCACGTGCCAATCTGAAAGCACTATTGCATTCCTAATCGTCCCAACAGACCCCGTTCAGCTTGATCAGAAGGACAATACAACGATACATTGTTGCACTCAACAACTTATAACAAAAATGCACAATGCATAATAGGTGTTATATCTTACCTCATCCAGTTCTTGTTGATTAGCTTTGTTGACTCCCTCTCTTCTCGCCAAATCTTTCTTCAGCAGCTGCAGGGCGTCCTCAGCATCATCCCGGCTAAATGCCAGCTTTGAGATCTCGGCATCCTTTTGAGCTAAGCTACCCTTGTAGCCTTCACTAAGCTGTCTTTGTTTTTCTAACATTTTTTCCAAGTTAGCGTTGTCCTCTTGTAGTGTTGTTATSAGACGTTTATCCTCGTCATGTTGCACTTGAAGAGTCACAACTGTTTCTGAAGTTTCCTTTATATTGTCTTCCAAATCCAGCACAGTTGCTCGCTTTTGGTCCAACAGCTTTTCGAGCTCCTCGATGTTTTCCTTTTGYGCGTCGTTTTCTGCCTCCAGATCCATGACMTTCTTTGAAGCTTGTAGCATCTCCTTCTTGAGCTTTTCTTTTTCAGTTAAGAACGCATTCTGTTCGCTTTCGTTGTCGGACGCATTCCTCTTTAARAGATCCAGCTCTTGCTGCACAGCATCTTTCTCTTTCTCYTTCTCCAATAATTCGTCTTCCAACGCTTGCACTTTCTTTTTTTGTTTTTCCTGTTTCTTYTTAAGCTCTTTGACGGTGAACTCCAAGTCGTCTCGTTCTGCTTCTATCTCTTCATTATAAAGTCGAAGGTCTGTTATCCTTTTATCAACATTTTTCTGTCTGTCTTCTTGATCCTTGGTTTGAAGCGATAAATCATTCAGTTCATTGGTTGCGTCCTGTAATTTCCTTTGCAAYATTTTTTGCTGTTCTTCACTTTCAGAYTGTGYTTCCTCCAAAGAAGCAATCTTGTTTTCAGCTTTTGYGAGTTTGTTTTGCACATAATTAAGATCGTCATTGCTTTTGTTCAATGAAACTGTCAGCTCTTTCACTTTTTTCTCGGCCGCTTTAGCTCTCTTTTCAGCTTCAATGAGCCCTGTCTGTGCCATATCGTCACGTTTCTGTAAGTCTGTAAAYCTTTTCTCTATCTTTGACAACTTATCTTTTAGAACGTCRTTTTCAGCTTCGCTTTTAACARTGGTGTCCTCTAGATGTGAAAGCTTTTCCTGGCTCTCTTGAAGTTGGCTCTGCGCCTTTTCTAGATCATCCTTTAGCTTTTCAGCGTATGTACCGGYTGCTTTTTGCTCGTCGTTCGTYGTATCTATTGTCTTTTTMAGCTCGTCTTTCTCTTCTTGTAAAGCTATATTTTCCTTCTGCAAATTTTCWGTCTTTTCACGCAATTTCTCGATTGCTTTCTCTCTGCTATTAATGCCGTTTTTCAAGTCTTCCTCTTTATTCTTTAAACTATCAATAAGTTTTTCTTTACTCTCAAGGTCTTTCACCAACTCTTTCTTCATTTCGTAAAGTTTCTCGTTTTTATTTGCTAAGTCTGTACATTCTTTCCTGRCTTTGRCTAAGTCGTTCTTCAAATCGGAACTTACAACAGCAGAACTATCCGAAGTGGTCTTTAATTCTTCGTAATTRTTTTCAGAAATCTCAAGATCTTCAATCAGYTTTTTAATTTCTCGATTTTTCTGCTTCAAAAGCTCATTCAGATCRTAGTCCAGATCGTCCTTTTCCTCTTGTAGCTTTCGTTGTTCAATCTTCAAATCTTTGATGTTCCTTTTAGCCTCTTCATATTCTTCAGCAATCTCCTCTTTCTCCCGCTCAAACTCTTTCGCTTTCTTTTCCATTTTATTTTTCTCTTTTTGAAGCAGATCTATGTCTTCTTCTAAGTTTCGCTTTTCCCTTTGAAGCTCTCTAAATTTATTGATRGAATCCATTTTTTCACCCTGCGATTCTTCAATTTCATGCTCTAAGTCGATAAGTTTTGCCTTTGTAACTTCAAAATCGTGTACATCTTCTTTTGCCCTCTCTGTCATGTCTTGCATTTCTTTGTATTTGTTTTTGTACTCTTCAGCTTGGTTTTCCAACCTGRTTTGCAATGTACCTAATGCTTTATCTTTGTCATCTAGTATTCTCTTCATCTCATCCAGTTGAGTGTTCAACTCTTGGCACTTTCGTTTCGAAGAGTTCAGCTCCTTTTCCACATTAGCAAGTCTGTCATCTTTGGATTTGGTTGCTTCACCAAGCTGCATTTCCATTCCATCTTTATCCTGTTTTGCGACTTGGCTTTCATGTTTAGCCTGGTTAAGCATATCACGCAGTTCTTTWATYTCAGCTTCCATTTCTTGTTTTTCTGCACAAATTTCTTGAATCTGTGCCTCGTAAGTTTCGATTTCTTTTTTCGTAAATTCTAGTTCCTCGTCCTTGTCATCRCCAGTATTGCTTGGCGTGTATTGCATATCAGATTCTGTACTTTCCAAAAGTGTTTCACCAAAATCAATGAGCTGACCCTCCGTTTCAKGTTGTTTATTTGCAGKAATTTTAACTACAGSTTGTTGRTGAYCAGGTGTTGAACCTYCGAAGTTAAGTAAGTTAACTTTTGGRTCGGCSKGAGTGTTATTTTCTGCATCAAATTCCCCAAACAGATCCATCTCGGGAGCTGACTCGAGAGCTTCAAGTTGATMGTTGAAAGTCAAAGGTYGTGAAGATACAACASCAGCTTTTTGTTCATTGTCTTTTTGTTGCAGTGCTTCCTCTAGCTCCTGAGTTTTATTTCTCAGTTCTGTATTTTCGTCGCCGACTTCAAACAGCTGCTTCTTCAAGCCTTCTATTTTCATATACAAGTCATTCTCTTTGTCCTTAAATTCCTTCAGCRTGATTTTTTCTTTGTCGTTATCTTGCGGCGCTTGATCTTTCAACTCTTGCAGAGCCTTCTGCWTCTCATTTAATGATGCTGTTAGCGTTACATTCTGCTGTTTCAATTGGGCATTGTCTTTGCGCAAGTTATACAGTTCGTTTTGCAAATTATCWTCTGTTTCCGCTTCTCCGGCAGTTTTACCCTGATTCTTTTGCGGTAAGTTTTCAAAGTTGTTACTGGGCCTATTAAAACGATGATTTTCAGAGTAACCGCTGTCTGGAGTCATCGCAGMATCTCTGTGTGAGTGCGATCCTCTAATTGGYACCTTTCCAGTCTTAAGCAATTCCGCTTCTTGGTCTGCTAAGCGTTTGCTCATCTTCAAATTTTCATAATGGCGATTATTCTGAAGAAGTTCGTCCATAAGWGCGTCATTTTGATTGTGCAGCTCTACAAGCTCGTCCTGGAGCTCYTTAATTCTCTCGTCTTTTCTYGTGATCATTGTTTCCTGGCCGTCTAAACGTACATTTTGAATAGAGCATTGTTCTCGCAAACTTTCCATGTCACTCTCAAGTTGATTAATCTCAGATTTACTCATGTTTAATGCATCATCTAACTGCGCAATGTCTTCTTTAAGTTGCCTGTTCTCGCTTTCTAACTCWTCTAATTTCTCGTTGTTGCTRTYAAGATAGTTTTTAGCTCGAAGTTGCTTCTCTAAGCGAGCTGTATTTTCTCTTGAAGAGARCAGCTCTCTCTGCATTTCATCYTTGTGTCTATCATTCGATTCRGTGTATCCGCGAAGGTGGGCGAGTTCTTTCTTAGTTGAGTAAAGTTCTTGTTCYGTTTGTGTGTATTTTTCGAGATTTGAYAGCACTTCTTGGCTGAGAGCAGCCTCTCGTTCYTCAGCTTCTTCACATTTGCGCTTCAGTTCTTTTATCTCGAACTCTGCATTTGAAAGTTTATCTTTTAATTGATTAATCCTGGAATTACTGGCCTTTGTTGAGCTTTCCGTGGAAAGTCTTTGTAYATCATTATCGGCATTTTCTCTTTGAAGTCTTTCGTTCTCTTTTTTCATGCGTTGTGTTTCATGTTTAGCTTCCGCAAGTTCTCTTTTAAWAGAATCTAACCCTCTCTGCATATCTTGCTGATCCCTCTTCATATCAATAATTGATTTTTCTTTCTCGTGTAATTTCTTCTTGTAATTGTCACATCTGTTTTTGAGTTCTATTAAATCTCCATCAACACTTCCAAAATGTACGTCTCCATTGCTTGAGCTYGGCGGACGCTGGTATCTTTGGATTTCTTCTCTGTCATCCAGTGCATCGGACAATTGCTCCTTCAAAGCAAGAAGTTGTTTCTCTTTAAATTGGTTTTCCTGTTGCAGCTTTGTTTTATCTTGCTCTGCGTTCAAGCGACTASCGTTCACGCGGAGGACTTCATCCTGCATGCATTGTACATCGTATTGCAATCCTTTATTCTCTGCTTTTAATCTTTTAATAAGAAGATCTTTAGATGCGAGGTCTTTGTCATAGCTRTGGCATAATTTGTTCTGTAGATCGACCTTTCTTTCCAGTCTTGAGCGATTTGTATCATCGTGATTGCCTAACAGTTCTCGAAGTTTGGCATTTTCTTGCATAAGTCTTTCGCTCAGCTCAGATTTATCACTTGCRTATCCCGAATTACTTGGCGTGCAACTTAGACTCTCTGAATTTAACGAGTCCAAAGACACGTCGAGACCGTCGAAAAGATTCCGCTCCGATGATAGTCGTTCCACTTCGGTTTCTAATTGTTGTTTTTCTTCCTTTAAATCTCGAATGATGGCATCTTTTTGTGCAGCTTCAAGCGTTTGGTCCTGACATGTTTGTTGATGATTTAGCAACTGTTTTTGCATTACATTAAAGCTGTTGATTAAATCTTCTTTTTGTCTCTCGACTTGCTCGAAGTAAGAGAGCAGCGAAGACTTTAAATCGTCTTCAAGTTTAGATACTTGGTAGCCCAAGGCATGTACTAGATTATCTCTAGCGGCTGTTGAGAAACGTTGGTAACTGTCTGTAGACCTCCTTCCTTCCSCACGCGAACTGCTACGTGTTTCGCCATTAATACCATCTCTCCAGTCGTTGTTTGGCTCTCCATTGACAGGAGAATCACTTATTTGCCTAAGCCTAGCTAGTGTCTTTTTGGCCTGTATTAACTGTTCTTGAATAAGTTCTCGTTCTGTTACGCTGCTGGGTCTCGACATCGCAAAGMCGTATTTTGAATTGAAAGCTAATTCGATTCTAACATTAATGGTTAATTCTTGCTCCTTTATTTCGCAATAGATCCATCACTTTTGTTTTTTTATTGTAGGATCCTTTCTCTTTGTGAAGGTTATTTTTGYGGTCTTGAATTCTTATATATCATATATACGAAGGCGTAAAGAGAGTCTTATTGAGTAAGTCTGTGTTCTGCGTGAATCCAAATAAATGCCCAGTAAACAGCCAACCAAAGAACTGCAAGACGTAAATGGCCCACTTTTCTTTCAAAAGTATCAATATTTCCAAGTCGAAGTCACCATACAATGATATAGAGCTCGGTTTAACGAAGAAGAGTCGTTTTGTGTGACTTGAGTGAATAGCCGCGATAACACATGGCCTTGCGAATAATTTGTCCGCAAAATATTCGATCACACCTGTAGCGAAATATTAAATATGCTTATAACTCAARCAGTCCCTTTTATTGATTCGCTCAAGCTGTTGTCTGATTGGCTGAAATTTGGCGGCAAGACAGGTGCTATTTTACCTCGCCGTTTCTATGGTGACGTTCCGCGTTTCTTTTATATTCAAAAAGGCATTTCAATGATATGGATTTTACTAACAATAAAATGGAATTTTACTAAATATCGACAGATAATCTGAATGCAGCTATATATAAGATATATTTCGACTTTATTTGCACAAAATTACAGCATTTATTGGCAAATCCCCATTAATCTAAAGACACGATTTCTTTTGTTTATGTTTGATTCAGAATATCTTCTCTTTGTTGAATAGAATTCAACTGGCAAAACTTGTACATATATTTGTTATTCTTTGCGTTGATTTAGGAATATAAGTAAACTAAATAGAGCATATGAGTTATTTTCGAATTGATTGCATACTTTCTTTGTAATTTTTCGAAAGAATGTTTGGAAAGCGTCAGTTGGAAAGACGGGATAAGTATTTCCATAAAGGAATGTGGCATTTCTGATTACAAATGAAACAGATTTGAATTACAACTAATGTGCAATTATATTGTATTATACATGTTTATTTTTGATCGTAAGTTTGCGCAAATTCGCGCAAGAGCGTTAATGACCAAAATTATGCGACAGGCATGTAGACCAGTCTGATTTTATTCCGAGCAAGATTAACTGAGTAGAAAGCGATTCTTGTTAAGTCATCGAGCGAGCTTAAATAAACATTTTTTTTTTCTTTTTTCTTTTAATTAAAACCCTAATTTAGAACGTGAAACACAAAAACAGTTTTTGGTTAAAAAAAATATTCGTATAACAAATTGTTGCTTTCTCAGCACGATTTTGTTTTCGTATTTTTCCTTTGCTAAATCTTGGTTGAGACGTTGCTTGGCTCGGCCGCCGGGAGCTTAGTTTCAAGCGGATTACGTTCAGCCCCTTGAGATTTCATTGAAATGACGCTGAGACTAACATTTTTTTAACGATTTAACTGTAAGATTTAATCAGAAAAAAAATCCCTTAAAATGTTTGTAATAGAAATTTGTGTAATTATAGTTTTACAAGTGTTGTTTACACATTGAATAACTGGTGGAACAAGATATTTTATATATAACGATGATTTATATTGGCAGGGTTTACTCATCAATACAAAAGCCAAATTAAATGTTTAMTTTGGGGAAAATTGCCTCGGCTGTMGATTTTTCGCAAAGAATACCTATACCTRCTTAATTTGATAACGGCTGCTTTTTTAGTTTGMCGCAGATTGGTTTTCTTGTATATAAAGAGCGTAAAAATGGCTATTATTTTGTTCATCATAATAAAAACAATCTACCATGAGACTAATAAATTATGATACTACTGAGGCACAGTCCATACGATGGCGGAAATCTTTTTACCGAAATATTTGTCGATTGCAGGACTTATCTATCCGTATCCAGAAATTTTCGAAAACGCTTTTTGCAGCGTTTGGACGCGAAAACGTTTGGGATCTGCATCAGTAACAAAAACAAAAGCACATTGATATTGTATAAATTCTGTTTACTCGAATTGACGGTGACTAAGCACAATTTTCATTTCTACTCTTTGTATTATTAAGCCTCGGATTCGCGTATCACAGAGCAAACACTTAAGTCGTCAAAAAATGTTATTAATTCATTACTGAGATAGTGCTATTGTCTAATGTACATTATATTGTGATACTTTGGCGCCATATAGGGTGATACTTTTTTTGTATTTAGATTATTGCTTGAAGAAACGTTCAGTTGGATACTGCAGGTTGAAAATCAAACGCTTTACTTTTGATTATATTGTAGAAATATTTTATGAAAAATTGGATCTTATATAAAATTTGTATAGAAAATCGCATGAYCTTGAGTACAATTTGGACTTAATAGTCAGGAGTAATGTTTTGAAAGTTCTTCGTAATTGCACGAGCCCGATAGGGCGAGTTCAATTTGAGATCTTTCAAAACATTACTCTGTAATTGTTCTCCTCTCGAGCAATGAAAAAGTATTATTTTGTTGAATGTRCTATAGTAAAGATATGCTTACAATGGCTCAAGGTTTTTTCTTCAGGGTTAGAAATGATAAGAAATAATTGTCGAAAAATAGAATGGGATGGAATAGAAGAGAGTAAAATAACTAAAGTGAATTTCATTTATAAGGCTTTATTTATTTAAAACAATTCAAAATCTGCATTATTTATWTTATAAATACGTATCTACATTAAACTTAATTCAGTTTTATAAAATAATCACTAATAARTCGTTAAAATCACTTATTCACAGATATCACGCAGTATAGCTAAACTTTTTTGCAATAAATAATTTCAATATCGTCTTGCTCAAATAAAATGTATCTAARAATCAAAATTTAATTTACAATCTATAATCATAAAGCTTAGTTTAAGCAAATGTGTCATTAAAATAATGAATAACTTGTTGGTACTGTGTATGTGTGTTTGCGCTATAGAAGAGTGAGGTTGTTAAAGCCGTGAAACGAAATTTGATTATCATATTCTGATAATCAAACAGATACAAAAGAAAACAGTGCAAATAGATCGTGGTAGTGTATTATCTATTTCACTTGTTTTTTCACATCACACAAAATGGTGTCAATAAATAACAATCATTMAAAAATGATTTTTCGTTAATGTTGCGGAATTRGTGCGAATTTAGAACTATTTCACGGATTTTGGGCGTTCAATCTATTAAAAGTATAATAGTATAATGTATATGTATTACATATGTTGGAATTTGTTCAAATTAATCCAGCATACTATTAAATGTATGTCGAAGTAATTCATTTTGAATTGACAGTGGACTGAAAAACGATTGGCCATAATAAAACGTTTTTGGGAAGGTCTCCTGTAATTGTATCGTTTGTTGCGGTTTTGCTGGACATCCGTTAATAGTATGGTGTCCAATTAATAAAACTTAGTATCCCTTGTGAATTAACCAGCTGAGCTAATACTTCCACCTTCGTCTTTGGGACGTGGRTAACTCTCTAACTTCAGCTTCACCAGAGACATCGCCCTCAATTGTCACTGGGAGAGATCCATACGTCTGTACACTACGAACTGGAATCGCTGAACGGCGAGGAGAACCTCGTTTGTTATYGATATCAATCTCCAAAGTGGTTGTCTCGACTGTTTCTGAACCTAAGTCTTTCATTTTCGATGCATCTTGCCTGTTATCTACATCAATTTCAATAGTAGTCGTCTCAACTGGTTCTAACACAAACTCCTTCTTGCTGACTGAGCCTTGACTGTAGATTCCACCTCCAAATCCACGGGACTCCGATCGAGAGGCGCGACTACCGTATGGACGGTGTTCGGGTGACGGTCGGTAAGGKATTGCTCTATTGGTTGTGACATCAGATTCATATGGTTCAGACGAGAAGTCCAACACCTTGGGTGCTGTAGTCACGTGTCGGGCACGCGGACTTATCTCAATTGATGTTCTATTGTCACGTGATGAAGAGATGCTATCACGTGGGCTGTCATCGCTAATAACCGTTGTCGTTGTTCCATATCCGTATGGGACATTGCTATCACKTGRCATGTAACTYYTAGTACGTGGGCTTGCATCCGTTTTAATCATTGTTGTCCTATAATCACGTGATTTGATATCTTGCAATAAGTAGCTGTTGTCACGCGGAGTTGCTTCTCTCGTTGTGGTCCTTGGAAGRGGATCMCGTGTTGGTTCATTATCACGTGGGCTYGACCCAGTGAGCCACGTTGTTTGTGCATAATCACGTGTTACGTCGTTATCACGTGTTACGGTACGTTSTTCATAAAMKTCAAGACTTCGTGTAGTYGTATCGCCGTCACGTGGTCTGTTCTTTTGTGATTGCCATTGATCATTGTCAATTTCAGAGTCAAATTCGTAAGCTTTGACATAAATCTCGTCAGAGCTTGCTACTGCTTCATATTCGTGTTGTTGTACATCTACTCCTACCCTGCTATTATCACGTGGGTGTACATCACTGCCACGTGTTTCATAGCTATGCTGATCATAAACTTCAAGACTTCGGGTAGTCATGTCGCTGTCACGTGGTTTGCTTTTGGGTGATTGTAATTGATAATTGTCGGTTTCAGAGTCAAATTCGTAAGCTTKGACGTAAATCTCGTCAGAGCTTGCTTTTGCTACTGCTTCATATTCGCGTGGTTGAACATCTATTTCTACTACATTACTATCACGTGGCTGTACATCCACCTCGAGTACGCTGGTCTCACGTGACTGTTTGTCATGASCTTGCACATCAATTGCCAAAGCACTAGTCTCGTTCTGTTGGACATCGATGTCAAGCGTAGTAGTTTGTCGTTCACGWGGCTGCACATCGACAGTAAGATACGAAACTGCTCTAGGAGAAATCTCAGTCTCSTGATTGTCSTTGAGATCTTGGTAAGCCTTGTGACTCAAAACCAAGTCACTTTTCAACACTTCTATTTCTTTCTCCAGATTTGTAATCTTCAACTCAAGTGTACGTATTGTTGAAGTTTTATCTTGGAGTTCTGACTTACTAGAATAGTATCGAGCTCGCTGTTCGGTAATTTCTTTCTCGCATCTCTGAATGGTGTTTTCCTTATTACGGATGTTTTGGATTGCATCGTCGACTTGAATTAGAGCAAGCTGTAATTCCTTCTGKAGTTTCATGACTTCAGATCTGCTTGAGCTCTTTTCGTGGGAAMTTTCTTCTATTTCTATGGAAATTTTCTTAAGCTCGTATTCCGTTGTTGTAAGTTTTTCCTGGACAGTTTTGAACTCAATCTCATATTGTTCCTTCTCAACCTTAAGAGATGTAATCAGTTGTTCTGCATTTTGKATTTGKGATCTGTAATCTTGTAAGTCGAGTTTGCATCGTGAGTGCTCCTTATCAAGACTGGAATACTTGTTCTTTAAAAGGGACATCTCAAAGTCAAGGTTATCTTTCTCTTGAGTTATTTTGTAGTTATCTTCACTTAACTGGTTGTTAGATTTATTCAGCTTTGCTAGTTCTGCCTTTAAGCTGGAGGCTTCCTGGCTCTCGTGTGCTTTGTTGTTCTTTATCCGTTCAAGTTCTTCAGTAAGTCTGCGTTTTTCATTTTCCAGTCTTTCTAGTATCATTAHTTTGTCCTTTAGCATGGAATTCATGCGGTCGTTACAACTTTCGAGTTCATCTTGCAATCTTCTTTGCTCGAACTTAGCTTCTTTTACCTCATCTGACAGCTTTTCCCGTTCATCTTCCCAAAGATTGTTTTCTTCTTCAACGTCCTCGATCTTTGACTTAAAAAACTCTATTTCACCTTTTGCAAGCAGAAGTTCTTCGTTTAGCTCTGATTTCTCTTTCAGTAAGCGATTGACTTCAACTCGATCATTYMTTTCTCTCTCATAACGTCCGCTTTCTAGATCTCTTTCCGTCCTTTGCAATTCATAGCGTGTGCTGTCTAGCTCTCTTTCCGCTGTTTGTATTCTGAATAACAAGTCGGATTCCTTATTTCGGCCTTCGGCAAGCTCTCTCTGGAGCTTTCTTCTTTCGTTCTCGCTATTTGTTAATGCTCCTTCTGCTTTTTCCAAGTCCTTCTTCAAATTCATAATCTCAGTGTCGCTTTTGGRTTCCCTGTTTAAGATAAGCAGTTCATGGCGTACACTGTCTAGCTCTCTTTCCTTTGTTTGTATTTTGAATAGCAGGTCAGATTCCYTGTTKCGMKATTCTGCAAGCTCTCCCTGGAACTTCCTTCTCTCCTCCTCGCTGGTCGATAAACGACCTTCTGCTTTTTCCAAGTCCCTCTTTAACTTCATAAGCTCTGTGTTGTTTTTAGATTCCCTGTTTAAGATATCGTTTTGTCGKCTTAAGTTTTGCATCTGGAGTTCCACATCAGAGCATCTCCTTTGTAAAGYCTGCACCTCTTTTTCTAAGATACCATTCCTGTCTTCGACACTGTTTTTGTCATCCTTAAGTTTGCACAATACATTGTGCGCTACAATCTTGTCATTTCGTATTCTCTCATTTTCATCTTGACATTCCATTAACTGTTTCTCTAGGTCTTTTATCTTGGATGCAAAGTCGTCAGCGGTTTTTCTTATCTCCTCATTTTCTTTCAAGGTATCTTTGTTTACCATGGCTTTATTGGAATTTTCAGTCCTCAAGGTATCATTCTCATTGAAAAGCAAAGCGTTTTCTCTCCTCAAGTCTACTATAATTCCTGTCTTTTCTGCTACCTCCTTCTTAATCTGGTCGCACTGTATTTCAAGCTCTTGACATTTACGTCTGGTTGAGTTGACACTGTCTCGATCAGCATCTTTAGAAGTCTGTGCGTCTTCCAAATGTGAAKATAGACTTTCCTTTTCTTTTCTGGATGCTTCCAGCTCATACTCGAGGCTTGAAATCTTGAATTTCAATGTTGCAGCCTCATTGGGGTACACCTTTTCTTCTACCTGACTTCCAAGYAAAGCATCTTGCAAAGGGCTGTCAATATTATCGTTCCGTGCTATCTGTAGTTCTTTGATTTTATCGAGAGAGTCTTGTAACCTTGTCTCCAAGTCGTGTATTTTTCTTTCTGCGTTGCGCAGCTCAGTAGAAGTGATCTGGTTTTGATTTTCCGAGTGGGCAAGATCAGATCGAATATCATCGAGAAGCTCATTTGTGGATTTCAGATCATATTCCAGTGTGGATGCTTTTTTATGGATCTTTAAGTTTTCACTTTCCAGCTCTGCCTGCCGTTCTTTGCTTCTTGCCAACGTGGTGTCCAGAAACTTTACCTTGTCTTGTGAAAACGATAAGTCTTTCATTGTGTTATTTAGTTTGGTTTCTTTCAATTCATTCTCTGCCTCTAGCTCTGCGCATTTGGATAGTAAGTCACTTTCTATTTCACGACAACGGCTTGTTTCAGCATTAATTTCCGCGTTTGTTCTTTCAAAGCTTTGTAGTCGTTCTGTTGCTTCACCAAGATCGTAGTTMATTTTTGTGTTTTCAGTGTCAAGATCTTGATTCTTGTTTTGTAAATCCTCTAGCTCATTAAACAACGCAGCTATCTGATCTTCCAATTGATCCTTGTCTTTAGTGAGTTGGTCATTTGATAACTTCAGATTTTCAKTTTCWTTGKTYAACGCTGTTAAATCAGTCTTGAGGCCATCGTTTTCCTTCCATGCTGAGTCCAGCTCCTTTGTGYAATCTTCTGAACTTGTTGCTTCAAGGAGACKTGTRTTCAGTGTGYCCTTTTCTTTTTCAATCGTATCRCACATGAACTTCGCTTCTTTGAAGCTCGTCTCGAGTGCTAAATTTTCGTTATTTAGACGCTCATTTTCTTGTTTTTGTGCGCTGCTTTTTAACTCTAGATCACTTAATTGTTGTTTCGTGTCACTCAGATCGGACTTGAGCTGCTCTGTAGTCCTCTTTGCTTCTTCTAACTCTATTTTATTCGCAGTGAGTGAATTACGTGTATCTTTGAGGTCATTTTCAAGCATTGATTTTTCCACTTCTAGAGAGTCGATAATCAGTTGTTTTTCTTTACTTTCCATAGTATAGGTATCGAGATCGTGTTTGTTTGTTGCCATCTCTCTCWGCCTTTGAATGCTTTCAAACTTTGATTCTTCTAGTCGTTTGGTCGTTTCTTCTAAGCTTTTCTCCAAAKCGTCTTTGGMTGCCAAAGCGTTTTGTAATTCACCTTCCAAGGATATGCATTTGCTTTTTGAATTAATAAGATCTTGTTGCTGTTGTGCCTTAAGATGTTGAGTCGCGTTGAGYGCCACTTCAAACTCTGTTGCCTTTTTGGTTTCATCCAGTAATTCCTTTTGAAGGCGAGGCTGAATTTCCTCTAAATTTCTTAWTGTTTGTTCGAGATCAAGGATTTTCTGGTCTGCTTTCTCCAAATCCTCCGAAAGTCGCATGATTTTGGATTTGTCTGTTTCTCTKAATGCTTCAAGTCGAATTGCTTTATTCTTTAATGCACCGAGCTCTTGTTTCAAACTGGACACTGTCTTACTTGATTCAAGTAAGTCATTTTGCTGGGTCTTCACACGTTCATTTGAGCTMGATAAGCTTTGCTCTAAACTTGCGAGTTTTCGCTGTAGTCCTCTCATTTCTGTCTGCATSCAATTTTTMWTTTTAAAGCATTCTTTGTGTTCCTGTTCCAGTTTTCCGTAYTCTTTCCTTAATTGTTCATTTTCATTGTGTTTATTGTTACCCTCCCTTTGAAGGTCATCGCAACGGTTCTGYAACGCTGTGATCTCGYTTTTATTTGATGACAGTGTCTCTGTGGAATTWTKGTTTGCCTCTTCTAGCTTTCCAAAGTCGTTCTSTAACTCAGCCAGTCGCTGTTGTTTTGASTTGTTTTCAAACTCCAATCTAGTCTTTTCCTTGTTTGMAGCTTCATACGCAGCTCTTARYTCGTCTTTTTCTTTTGATAAAGTTTCTAACGACTTCTTCAATTTATCCTTGTCTTTACCAAGAACATCATTTCGGGTTTGCAAATGTGAAACCTGATTTTCTGATGAAGCTAATTTTTCACGTAGGYTATAWATATCGTTTTGGGACTGTTGGTAACTCGCTTTAATTTCGACGACTCTTTCTCTACAAGCCATAATATCCTGCTTGAGAACACGACCT